CAGTACAAATAAAATAGATCAATTCTGAACAATGTGAGGAATATGACATCTCTGTATCTACATGCCAATGTACATACTGTATGTGATGCACCTTAGTGAAAATTTCGTGTACTCACGATCTAAAATACTCAATCACTCAGTACTGTATATGGCCAATCCAGCCCAGGGAAGATCCATCCCAAATATATATATGTATATCCATCAACTAACAGTCAATCACCTAGTACTGTATAAGGCCAATCCATCCCAGGGGAAGATCCATCCCCAAGCNTATCAACTACGCTCACTGTGGGGGTACAGACTCCAGAGGGACTCCTTGAGCCCAAGCACTATAATAACCAGATCCAGGCATAAATAAATAAACATAACTATCACTCAGAATCTCTAGTCTCTCGTGCTCTCAATAACATGAAGAATCAACCCGACATGATGATATGAGATATCAATAAATGACAACAGAGACTGAGATATGATATGCAAGTGATAAATGTGAGTGAGTACAAAATTATAAATTTAACAAATAGTTCAACAATAATACGACCCATGTGGGTCTCAAAATATCGGCGTGTAGCCAAATCGTGATCTTTAACATGAGTCTCAGCTCAATTTCTATAACATGTGAAGGATATGTGGATAATGATATTATTTAATTATACAACTCCACGGATACAATTAAGTCACGATTCCTATGATGCACGCTCACACGCCCATCACCTAGTGTGTGCGTCATCTCCAAACAATTCATACAACATGTTATTCGGGGATTTATACCCTCAAAACCAAGTTTAGAAGTGTTACTTACCTCAAACCGTATAATTCCTTACTCCGCTATGCCCTTGCCTCGCGAATTGGTCTCTGAAAGTCTCGTATCTATCCATAATTAATTCGATTCAGTAAATACGAATTATAGGAAATTAATTCCATGTGAAAATACAAATTTTTCCAACAAAAATACGAAATTAACTCAAATATTGCCCGTGGGGGCCACATCTCGGAACCCGACAAAAGTTATAAAATATGAACACCCATCCAACCACGAGTCTAACCATATAAATTTTACCAAATTCCGACATCAACTCGACCCTCAAATCTTCAATTAAAGTCCTTGAAGATTTCTACCATTTTCAACCCAATCTTTACCCATTTGAACTAAATAATCTTTCCATAAACCTTATTGATACGTATAAATAATACTCTTACACCCAAGAATCATACTCTTAATCACCTATCTTTACCCAAACTCGAAATTGAAGACTACGGGTTAGAACTTTACCTCTTGGGTGAAGATCTTGTGATATTTTCTTGTTGGATTTCAAAGCTTGAACAAGATCTTGATGAACAAAGCACTTGAGCTTCTTCCTCTCTCTAGAACACTCTCCTTTCTCTCTAAAAATATCAAATTTTTGCTCCAAAATGAGCTTCAAGGGCTATAAATCGAAGTTGGGTTGGGTAAAAAATTAGAAAGAATTGAAGCCCCGACGCAGATTTGCGATCGCATAACACGTATGCGGTCCGCAAACTGACCACATAATTGAAGATCCAAAATGAAGGTCGCATGGACAGGTCTGCGGTAATTATGCAGCCCGCATACCTATTCTGCGGTCACATAATGCACCGTAAAATAGGTCTGCGGTCGCATAATGTACCGCGGATTTCCTCAAAATCTTGCCTCGCATTTGCTTCACTCTGCGGCCATTATGCGGTCCGCAGAGTGATTCTGCGACCGCATAGTGGGCCACAGAAATGCCCTCTTCTGCTGAAAATTTTTCTTTTACTCCTCAGTGCATTGTTCAACCCAAATTTCTACAACCTTTGTACTAATTAATCTACCTCAGCACTACAAAACCTTTTCAACTTAAGTTTTAAACCTTTGAACTAGATGATCCAAATCATTCGAAACCTCACCAGACTCGAACCAGTTAACCCGGTAAATCATAAAATAACTAAAAATCATAACTTGAGCAGTAAATGGGGAGACGGATTTGTAATACTTGAAACAACCGACCGAGTCGTTACAAAAACCATCCTTCAAAACCTTAAGAAAAGGTTGACCGATGCCAAAGAAAAATGGAAGGAAATTCTGCCCAAAGTCTTGTGGACACACCGCACGACCTCAAAATATAGTACAGGGGGCACCCCGTTTTCGATGGTCTACGGTGCTGAAGCATTAATACCGAATGAGGTGGGAGAAACGAGCCTCATGTTCTGATATGCAACCAAAGAATCAAACGCTGAGGCCATGAGCACGAGCCTGAAACTACTGGATGAGAGGCGCGAGGCCGCCCTAGTCCGAAGAGCCAACCTCCAACACATCAATATTGGGGACTTGGTGTTAATAAGAATAACACTAAACATCTGAAACCCGAACGAAGTGAAGCTAGGACAGAATTGGGAAGGTCCAAATTGAGTCATCGGGATTACCGGTAAAGGTTCGTACAAACTCGAAGCAAGAAACGGTGCATAGCTACCGAACAACAGGAACGTGACCCACTTAAAACTATACTACTGCTAAGGTACGACCTCATTAATTTTTTTTAATATTACGAATTGGACTAACACTTGCAGGCAATAACCAAAGCAGAATGTAGCTATTAGGTCTGAAAGCACGTGTTGCACTCTTTTTCCCTTGAACCGGTTTTGTCCCAAATGGGTTTTCTGGCAAGGTTTTTAATGAGGCAACAGTAAATCGTGCTAGCTTAGAGTTAAAGACCGGTTTTAAATTGGAGTCAATGGTCGCATCAACAGTATCCGAGCCCTTTCGAAGATCGACCGCGAATACTAGGGGCTATCACCCTCGGGACAAGATTTTTAGCAAGGAAGGAAACTTTGTGCTCAAAAAGTCTGGGCTCGGTGGTTAGAATTTATTGTAAGGGCCAAACGGTCAAGTGAACTGTGCCCTCGTAGGCCACTTCAGCCTTAATACGAGCTTTTACACGCTTACAATCTTGTACGTTAGGCACAAAAATGAAAGAAAGTTTCTATCTTGCTAACAAATAGTATTTGCTTCTTAAAAGTATCGAGCCTACGCGTTATTCCTACCCGGGAACTTTCGAGCCCAAGGGCTACCATTATTCAGTCCCAAAGGGCTACCCCCACTCGGGGACTGTCGTCCGAGACAATTTCGGGCGGCTCGGGTTATCGAAACCCGGAGGCACAAAACCTATTAGGCAGTGCCTAAAACTAAAAGGCTATGACCACCCTAGAAACGGTTCGGAGACGTCTAAAGCCCGTAATAAAAACTTAAGGCCTTCAACAAAATTCTAAACTTGTTCAAAGATTATCCTCGGCAAAGGTATAGTCTAAAAATATTTAAACAAGCATCTTGGAAAAATTTTCGGTCACTCTGAGCTTCCATAAGTTCAAACAAAAATTGCATCGAGGACAGGTCTTGTTCGGACCTCCGAAAAATGACCTATTACTACGTTTGATTTTGTGCTAGGGCATTAAAAATATTTGCAATTGTAAGAAGAGGCTGAAGAAAATAGACTTGAAAATTGCCAAAAAGGAAAACTTTATATATTCCGGAAATCTTTACAAAGGCCAATTAGAAAACGACCTCAACAAAATATATGTGCAAGATACAAAAAAAAAATCCTAAGGCATCTCTGCCTGGTCTTCACCGGAACCCGACTCATCACCAGAACCGTCGGGGCCTTCGGATTCTTCAAACTCCTCGGAGCACTCTTCACCTCGGGGGATTCTTCAACCTCGAGTCTTTTTGCCTCTTCGATCTCGGCAGATAGGTCGAAGCCTCGGGCATGTATTTCTTCGAGAGTCTCCCTTCGAGAAAGCTGCCTCGTATACTCAGCAGTAGTCTTCAGGCGGGCCTCGGCTGCTTCAACATTGGCCTTATATTGGGCCACCATCTCTTCAGCATTAGCCGAGGTTGCTTCCAACTTGGACCTCTCTATTTTGAGCTCCTTGTCAAGGGCATCCCGTTCAGCGATGGTCGATCCTAGTTGAGCTTGGAGGTCCTCATTTTGTCGAGCTCGTGCATCGGCCTTCTCCTTCGCCACCCAAAGCTGAACATACCGAAGACAGCTTGTCCTGAGCAGTTTCCTTCTCCGAGGCCAGCATGTCCATCTTGTTTTTCCACCCGTCGGCCATCACTTGGACCTCTTGTGATCGGGGTCTATACTTAGAGTGGGGAACTGATTAACCAATTTCGAGCTCGAGCTGAGCCATCCAGCTTTCAGGGAAGTGTATTTTTTTGGGACTTCCAAGTCGCCCAGCTCGGAAAAGTCCTCCAAAGTGGATAAGTCCACACCGTCGAAAAACGAATGAAGGGGATTTTCCGCACACTGTCCCCCCTCGTTGGATTTCTCCTTCCTCGCTTGGGCCTCCTCGAGCATAGACTCGGCGTAGGAGGGCATCCCCGAGATCTCAATTACGCCGGGAACTTCCTCTGGAGCAGAACCTGCATCCTGGAAAGTTTCACCTCGGGTATCCACGTTGGTCTTTTGAGTTTGAGGGGGTCAATCTCACGAGTCTCCCCTTCGGATTAGAGGTGGGCATTCGGTATTTCGGTTTGGTATTTAAGAATTTCGATTCGGTATTCGGTTTATCAATTGTGTATACCAAATACCGTACCAAAATATTTCGGTACGATTCGGTATTTCATATTTTGATTCGGTACGGTTTCGGTTTAATATTCGCTAAATAAGCAACGCTAACGAGTGATAATTCTCCTATGTTTCAATGCCCTGTCTAACTGTTCAGCCAAGAAATGAAGAAATACAATAAAATTGAACAACCATTTCTTCAGAAAGAAGTAAATAGACTTATAGACATGATGCATTTTCTATTTTCTAATGCTGGCATTTGGAGCCAACTCACATTCTTGTGGCTTAATGCCTTAATCCACTATTCAACAAACATGCAACAACAGGGACATGTTGCAAATCAATTACAGAACAAGCTGCAAGTTTGTACGCTTAACAGGCTGCAAATATTTTCTCTGAAAATGGCAGAAAATATATGCAACAGTGGCAACATTAACAGAATAAAAGTAGCAGAATTAACACTTAACAATAGCAGCACTAACAGTAGCAGAATTAACAGTAGCAGTAGGCCAATAGCATAATTAACAGTAGCAGCAGACTCTAACAAGCAGCAGAATTAAACACACACAGTGCATCAAAAACAACAAAAATAGAGAGGGCATCCCTCAATTCAAGTTCACACTAATAGTCTCGAATCAACTTAGTCTTAATTCTTAAATACGTATTTCAGGAAGACGCTCAAGACAATGCCTAATATGCTTCCTTAAACAACATGTGTCATCCCTCTTTGGATGAACATTATAGACTCGACCACAATGCTTGCACTCTACTTTACGAACTTCTCCGTTATCTTCTTTCACCTCAAAGTATTCCCAAACATGAGAGCGTACTTTAGGAGCACGAGGCATGATTGCACTTGAACCTAAAAAAAAATATAAATCATAAGTTAGAATATTATTTTTTGATAATAATAAAACAAAACTACAAAAGTATATCACCAAATAAATAGAGTATTAAACTTACCACTCATGTTGCAAGTTGCAACTATGCATCAAAGTTCAAAGTTCAAACAATGCTAGCAGTGCTTCCATTATTTTCTATATCTAAAGATAATTCAACCAAATATGTCATACAAATAAGCAAGTATGATATATTATTTTGAACTAAAATATATACAAAATATTAAAGCTTACCAAGCTCAAGTTCCTCAAGATACTTCAAGTCTTCTTCAACACTAATAGGATTCTTCTCTTCTCTAAGCCAATCTTGAATACAAACAAGACCTTGCACACATTTAGGAGTCAATAAATTTAAGAATTTATTTGTATGGATTCAACCATAGAAAGAACACTGTATTTGGAATTTTGGATGGATCAATGGATTTGGATCATTTAACAGAGGCATTAGGTCTACACAGTTAACAGAATAACAGAGGCAGCAGCAAGCCAAAATGTTATGCAATTACAAATAAGCAGCAAAATAAGAAGGTCTACATTTCTAAACGGAATAAGCAGCATCAAGCCAAAATATGGGGAAGAGGAAAACTATCAAACACCATAATCCACACCCCAAAAGGAGGACTAATAGAAAATCATATTAATTGTTGGAAATTTACTCTCTAGCTGCAGTTCATTTTATAGAAAGGATTCCCCATTAGCTTTATTTTGCACAAATAGAAATGCTTTTCTGTTTTTCTCTGTAATTTTGTACTATAAGACATAATACAGTAACAATTGTATTTATGAAATTTAAGATAGAAAACAAAATTGAACTATATGAAATCTCTTTTTAGTATCTTCGAATTAAATTTCTGCACTGAATCAATATTATCATCAGCTGGTTTTCGCTTTCCACAAACAATTACTTTATTAGAAATAGAAACAGATCGCTAAAATCTTCTGAATGCAATTGATGATATTTTGCATTTACCCAATTGCTTTTCAAGGTAATCAAAGAAATATTGGTAGAGAGCTAAAAAAAAATGCATTCTTTAACAGTTCCAGCACAAAAGAATATGCATGTTCTTCATAAAACAAAAAACTACAAAAAACAAAGGATTAAAAAGTATAAATCTTTTTTTTGTAAAGACAGTGAGACACATACCTAATAATCTAATAAAACCTTAAAAAGGAGAAAGCTTTCAAGTAAATTGTGGAAGAAACTAGAAACATACCTTTGATTCTTTGAAGTCACAACAACCGATCTCTTTGAAGTCACAGTAGTCGGTCTTCGTTTGCCCGTTTCTGAAACTATCGCCCTAATTGAAAGCCTGAAGCTGAAACTATCGCTGAGACACCGACGTCGTTTACCCTAATTGACTTTCTAAATTCTAATTCCCTAATGAGTAATGCCTAATCCCCAATTGAATGAAAGACAAATATTAGAGAGTGGGCTTGGGCTGGGGCGTTGGAGTGGGCAGTGGGCTGGGCATTAGATTAGAAAGTCTTTAAAAAGTGTTGGGCTGGGCAGTATAGCTATTGGTCCAACTTAAAAAATCTTTAAATATTCGGTATTTCGGTATACCGAAATTTTAAGATCTTAATACCGATGACCGTACCGTAATGCTGAAATACCGAAAATATAATACCGAATTAGACCGAAATACCGAAAAAACCGAAACCGAAATACCGAATTAATTCGGTCCGGTTCGAAATTTGATTTTTCAGATTTTATGCCCACCCCTAATTCGGATGCACGGGATAGGTCATCCCGTGGGCTACAAAAATAAATTCATCTTCCGGCTCATCCCTAAGCCGGAGAAGGGAGTCGGAGTCTGGCACCCAGGAACTGGATCCCTTCCTGGGCTTGCGGAGCACCCGCTTCTTTGGTTTCTTCACCTCAGATCCAAGGGAGCCTGAGGGTTTTCTCTTCCACTTCTTCTTTCCCTCCGTGGAAGCAATAGAGGGATTAATAGGCGGGGGCACATCTTCATCCCCTTCTGAAGACCTAAGTTCGGTGGTCTTAGGAAAACCTGCAATAACAAAGAAGAAAGAGGAGTTAGTATAATAAAAGGTGAAGACATAGTGTTGGCTACTCGGAAAGAGGCCTTACCATGAGAACGGGCCTCCCATCGTCCCTTCGAGAGTCCGCGCCATGTGCACTCGAAGTACGAAATCTGAATACAGATGCCCTCGATCCACTCCTTTAACTGGGGAACCACATTCGGAACCCGAGCGACAGCTACACAACCACAAGCATAAATAAGAAGATAGAAATGAAAAAAGAAGAATTTTTTATGTTGAAAGAAGGAGTTGCACTTACGAGACGCATTCCTCTTCTCAGAGAATGGCATGTATTCCGGGGGGATCAAATCCTCGGTCTTCACTCGCACAAAGCATCCCTGCCAGCCCCGGTCTCGGTCTTCATCGATGCTGAAGAAGGGGGCCTTGTAGGCCCGGTGATTAAGCTTGATCAGTCCCCTTCGGAATATTCGGGGACTATATAATCGAAGCAGGTGGTCGATCGTGAATTGACGAAATTCGATCTTGTTCACCAAGTAGCGGAGGAGGGTCACGATCCTCTACAACGATGGGTGGATTTTTCCGAGGCACACCTCGTACCTTTTGCAAAAGTCTAGGTCGATCGGGTCTACCGGGCCCAGTGTGAAGGGATAAGTGTAAACACTTAAGTATCCCTCCACGTGGATAGTGACGGCGTCCTCGGGCACGGGGACTACTACATTCTTTCCTTCCCAATTGTAGTCCTTACGAACTATGGGAAGAACATCCTCGGTCACGGAACATATGTACCTCGAGACTCCTTCACCCCGATCCTATTTGTGTGAGGGATTCTCGACTTTAAAGTCATCTGCAATTGAGCAGCCCCCGAAAATGAACGCCGATAAGGGAGGCTTGGCGGACGGTTCATTAGCAACCACAACGGAAGAAGCTGTTTTGAGGAAAACCACCTCAGGGGCGAGCGCTTCACTACCATCGGTCGGTTGAGAAGATGAAGAGGCAACTAGTTGAGGAATGGTTTTTGATTTTTGGCCATTGTCATCTGGGAGAGTGTTTGAAAATTTGAGAAAAGAACACAAAGTTTTGGAAAAACGGGTTTTGAAGATGAAGAACAGAGTATGAAGATTTGAAAATAATTTGGGCAGAAATCTGGAGATTGCTATAGAGATTGAAGAATGATGATGAAGATACGAAGGATTGAAGAAGGTTTTGATGATGGCTGGAAAGCTCGAAGGTAATGATTTGATCAAAAAGTAGAAAAGGACGAAGGAATGAGGCATTTATAGGGAAATAACCGACGTTTCGCATTCGGAGGCAACCTGCCGATGAGCGACACGTGTCCGAAGTCAGAATAATACGATTGATGGGACGTTTTGGCTCCCTCGTCGTAATGTACGAAGGAAGTAACCGGAGTCATCTGTCGTTTCCCATCGTTTCGGCAAGCCTACTCTCTGAAAAACGAGGGGACTATCTGTATACGGGTAAAACGGAGCCCACTGAATGACTCGATTTCCCGGTAAGTCAAATGGAGCAAGAACGTTATCGTAAAGAATCGGAGTCAAAGCGAGGAGCCCCTCGTATCGGGGCTCGGGAAAAACACCTGCCCTCGGGGGTATCGAGGCCACGTCCTTCGGGTCCAGTTCGAGGATCAAGACTTCGGAAAGCATTACCAAACAGCTGTACACGACTAATAAAGGGTTGTGATGTCGTGCCCAACCAGATATCATGGCGTGAATCTCGGCCCGCGTTGGCAGAAAATCAGTGATTAGCGAAACAGAAGATTTTTACCTTTTTTAGAATTGAACTTAGGGTAAAACTCCCCTACTATATAAAGGGGGAAGCTTATTATTCATGACACACAATGTAACATGCATATCAAGGCAATTCATTTCAATTCTCTTTGTTGTTCAAAGTTCCTACTTTTGTTATTAAGTTCTTCATAAGTACAAGCTTGGAATTGAGGGCAGGTTGCTCATCGAGCTATCAACCAACCTCTTAATCATCCTTATCATTGGTTTGGCCATTTATTGCGTCTTTTATTTGCTTAATCTAACGTCATTAGTAACTTATATTGAATTAATCCACATATCCTTAAAACTACATATAAATTCAATTGTTATCCATTTTTTTTTAGAGTAAACAAATTTCAAACAGGTTGCATTATGAAGGAAATGATGAAATTTGAGTTCAAACTTTAAATCCATATAATTTTTCCTTTTTTGTCGACCATGTTTTTGCACTCTAGATTAGTTACTCATTAAATTTCTAATATATTATTAGGAACCAAAAAATGATAATATTTTTTTCTAATCATGCAATATTACTAACTCTGCAAATACTCATAGCATGTAATGGTATGAAAATGATCGTTAGTATAATATCAATTAAGAAAATAATAAAAATAAATATTGTTCACTTGCACAAGGAGATGAACATGTTTAGTCTACATAATGCACTTACATAAACTTCTTGATAAAAAATGAGAAGTACGACAAATATCGTACCACTATTTATAATGACTTCAGTATTTCACTTTTACTTGCATAACATAAAAGTAAAAGAAATCTGGTTGCGCTACTTATTGGGATAACTATACAACTACTCATAAGTGTCACGATCCAAAATTCATTAGTCGTTATGGCACCTAACTTAATCTGCTAGATAAGCCAACTAATAGTCAACATATTTCAAATGAGATTTATGAGAAATAAATGATAAAATGACTGAACTTTTATACATCAACTCAATGACTGATAATATAAATCATAAGCTACTAAGACTTAAATTTATAAAACTGAAATAAAATAATTAAAACATTTGTTTGGAATGTACATGAACAAAACTCGAATCTAAAGCTACCAAGGATAAGTGATAGCCATAACTAGAATACGGGTACATCTTCAATGTCAGCTCCCGTCATACACAGCAGTACCAACTACAAAATCTGCACGCAAGGTGCAAAAGTGTAGTATGAGTACAATCGACCCCATGTACTCAATAAGTATCCTAACTAACCTCAGCGAGGTAAAAGAAGCAAGAACTATAAATGATACTCACTAACACCTGTACAGTTCACAATTTCAACAAGTATATGACAGATAGGTGATCAAATCAGGAAATCCTCAGGTAAAACCACTTTGATGCTCACAATTCTTTGTTTAAAAGTGTTTTACTCAGTCAACAATCCAGCTTTTAAAGAAGTTATGCAAGTAAATCAGGTAAACAGTCAAGAAAATCGCAAGTAAAGATGAAACGTTGTCACACCTCCTTTTTTCGAAGATAAGGGAAGTTTTTTCAATTAAAGTGACATTATTCGAAATGGGATTATTTATTTAATTAGAGTCGCTACTTGGGATAATTATTATGGTGTCCCAGGTCACCGGTTTATTTTAAAATCCAAATCAAGGAAATTGACTTTATTTATGGTTCGCGAACATAGAAGACCGGGTAAGAAATTATGTTAATACGAGAGAAGGTGTGAGGCACTCCCGAATTCCGTGGTTTTAGCACGGTCGCTCAACAATTAATAATTGGCCTAATTATCTGATTTATTATATGTCTAAAAGCCTATTGTGCATTTTATCTTTTACCGTTTTTAATTAAATTGTAACCGCTTTTTAGTATTTATGGAGTTATTTCTTAAACAAGTTATGATGTCGTACACTTGTCGTTTTGGTGCACATTGCAAACCGTGCCACATGAAATGCACCTGTGATTTACAACATGTTTATTATTATTATTATCTATATTTAAAGTTATGGTCAAATCGCGTGAAACACACACTCGAATTGGGGTTTACGTATCATGACTATGCCACGGGAACCGTACCCATAATCACGATGATTTATTTAAACGCGCCTAACGCAAACTACGATATTTGAATTATTTTCTAAACTAATTTGAGATTATTGTGAGGCCATGGGAAGTATGGATAGGAAATTATTGTGGAAGAATAACATGAGTTGGCCAATACAATTATTAAGAGGGTCATTTATACTTTAGGGGACTATTAAAAGGTTGCAACTTAATGAATTACTTAAGGTTTACTAATGTTCTATCCTTAGAATTAAGAGACTTTTTCGTATGTATACTAGATTTTAAATTTATTTACCCGATTTTGTCTAAGTTTTCCTATATACAGAAAGTAACCAAAGTTTTTTACAAAATAGATACAAATTTGGTCAAAATCTACAATTTATCTACAACTTAAATACAATTTTTTTTGTATAGAATCAGGTCAAAGCAACAATTTACATACAATTATACTAGTTTTATATTTTTGTATGTCTTTTCTACACTCGACATATAAAATATATACAATTTGTTTGTCTTCTTTTTCGATTTTCAATATGAAATTCCAACCAAAAGAATCTTCACCAAATTCTCTCAAAATTGAGATATAAACTCCAAAGAATATTCCCAATCATTTGCAACAACATCCAATCCGAACAAATAATAGTTTCACAAATTTTAATTTTTTGAATTCAGAACTTTGAAACTTTTTAATGGCTGTCAGTTTTTAATGGGTTAACGGGGTTTTCAATTCAATCTACTTACTTCTGTTTAGTACTATTTAACGTATTGATTCCAAAAACCTAAAAAAAATACTGCTCGGAGATTAAGCTAACATCGTGGAATTAAACTGGCAAACATTTTTTAAATGCTCAAGCTTTAAATCTAATTTTTGAATCAATAATTGTGACTCAAACATTAGTTCAACAAACCAAATCTATTTGGATGGTGAAAATTAGATTTTTAAGATAATCCACCATTATTGAACATGCTTAAATAAGTGGGTTTAAATTTCAAATATGATTTTATAAGAAATTTGGAGTGAATGCTAATTAGACTCGTTAGAAATAGTATAAGGAGTAGGGATGTACATAGGTCGGGTTGGATCGTATTTTTCAATTACCAAACCAAACTAATGGTGTCGGGTTTTTAAATTTATAAACGAAACCAAAGTCGAATTTTTCAATCTCGGATTTTTTGATTTTTTTCGGGTTTTCATATTTTTTTTTTCCGATAAAGTCTTAATAGCACAAAATATGTAACTTGTGCTTCAAATATTTATTTTAGTCCTAGTAGGATACAACTATATAATGTATTTTTTAAAAAAATAAAATAATAATATGAGATGAGTCATAACCTTGTACTAAAATATTCAATAACATAAATAATAAAATCGCACAAAGAAAATATTACTAATTAATACACCGTAATAAAAATTAACATAATCTAAAAATACTATCTAGGTCGTGCTAAAATAAGTACAACTAATAAGTATTATTAATTACACAACTAAGCATTAAAAAAAGATAAATTAGGGTATACACTTTCATTATAAATCAATGCAAAACTAAAAAATAGATATTTAATACTATTGTCATTCCTAGTATTGAATTGAATTTCCTTTATTAGCATTAATGTTGATTTGAACTTTATTTGACTTACTACCTTTATGGGCTATAAAATTTATTGGACCATTCAAGAATGTTAAGTCCAAACCTTAAATAATACTTTCAAAGATAAAACCGTGAACAAGTTTAAGAAATATTTATAAATTATATTACAATAAATATTTATATGCATAAAATATTTTTTAAAATTGTATAAATGCAATGTCGTGTTGGTTTGGTTTCGGTTTGACTTTTTTTAGTTAAAGCCAAACAAAATCAATTATGGTCAGGTTTTTTTTTCCAACACCAAACCACAATCGGATTTTTTTCTCGGTTTGACTCGGATTATTGGGTTGGTGCGGTTTATCGATTTTCTTGATACACCCTTAATAAGAATGTTGTATACAAAAATTGGAGTTATTTAATTAAGATTTGAACTAGTCAACCATTATTGAACAAGCTTAAATAAGTGGGTTTCAATTTCGAATTTGATTTTGTGAGAGATTTAGAGTGGATGTTATTTACACTTGTTGGAAATAGTATAAGGAGGTTGTATATAAAATTTGAAATTATGTAATGGAGATTAGGAGGGGTTTTGAATAAGAATTGCAACTGAAAATCGTGAAAGAAGTTCGTATACATACGTTTGTATAAAAGTGCATAAAAGTGTATAATAGTGTATAAGAGGTGTTTATACACCCATATACATTATTATACAATATTATACATCAGTATACAAAAACTGACTTTGTCTTCTTCCTTGCATCTTTTATGAAATTTAACTCAAATCTTGCTCAAATCTACTCCAAATCACTTCAAATTTAAATTTTGAACCCCTTTAGACATTTTCAATCAATTGGTACAACATTCAATCCAAACAACTAACAAATTCAAAAAATCCTATTTTCGAAAGCGAAGCTTTGAATAGCCTTCAATGGTAGACTTCTATTCTTCATTTCTTTTTTTTTTACATTGCAACCAGGTAACACAGTTATAGAGTAACATTTTTGGAATCTGGGTTGAAATTCAAGCTTCAAAGCTCCTTTTCGAATCTGGCTGCAATAAAACTTCAACTTTAAATTTGGACACACTTCAAATATTTGAAATCTATAAATATTTGGGAAGATTTAACAATTTAGTAGAGAAAATGTTTTAAATCAAGTTTGAGATCTATATATATTTAGATCTATGTGAGTTATAGAATAGAAGATAAAAAAAAAGAGAAAGAAGAGAGGCGAGTGGAAAGAAACTTGAGTATGCTGGGAATGAAGAAAGAAGAAAATAAAAAAACCTTAGAAGTGTGTCTTTAATAATGAGCTAAAGATTGAAAAGTTTCCTTCAGGTTATGTTGTTATAATGGCCTTAAACTTGGGTTGTTGGGCCAAGTGACAAGGGACGTAATTCTTCCTCAAAAAGAATTGCAGTCGTGTGCTCAGTTACCATCATCAGTGCAAAACAAATACTCATGAATCCAGCACCCAAAGGATGCTGATGCTTGTTTATTTTCATAAAAAGACAACTTCTAACAACCAGTAAAGTAACATCTTTCGTTTGAGGCCATTATAAAGCATTTTCACTATGACAACTCATTGTGACGAATTATCCAAAACTGATGAACGCTGAGAGAAGTCAAACATATGAACCACACACCCAACAGTGAGAAAAATGAAAAGCCAGTTCATACTTCAATTGGAAAAAGAAAAGTATAAATGGGAATGAATTTTATATGCAAGTTATTTCCCTTATTTTGCCTGAGGGTGAGATGCAATAAAATCAACAGCTAGATTGATGGAGTTGATCTTATCAGCTTCATTGTCGGGAATCTCAAATCCAAACTCTTCTTCAAGGGCCATCACAACTTCTACGGTGTCTAAGCTATCCAAACCAAGATCATTTTGGAAGTGAGCATTTGGCGTAACCTGCGAGAATAAATGAATATCGCAAAAGCATAATTGCACATAAATTAGTCCCAGACGCTTTAAAACAAGAAGGAACCTAATTAAAATCTGAAGATTCTAATGTTTGGTCAGTGCCTAGATTGAACACTATAATAGCAGTCTTCAAAGATTCACTGTCAGCTGAAAGGGAATGCATTAGCATGTCCCACCATCCATATTTTAAAAGAAGAAAAAAATAGGCAACAGTAAAAGCTGTTAAAACACTAGGGTTAAGTATTGGTGGAATCACCAGCGCCAAAAAAGGACACCAGCACCAAAAACCGAGACTGCCACTCCAGTAAACGCAGACATGGAGTACTAGTAGGACGGATGTGTGTGTGTGGGGGGTTAAAAGTTTTGTGGGGCCATGACATTTGTGTGGTTATAAAAGCTTCACATTAAAGGTAAAATGAGTAAAATGAAAAGTTTAAAGTTGAATTATTTCCAATTATAGAAATGTATCATTCTTTTTGAAACGGACTAATAAGAAAAGTGTGTCGTCTAAATTGAAACGGAGGGAGTAGGAAATTTTCTAAAATTTCCTTTCCACTAGTTTGTTGATTTAAGCTTGATTTGAGAGTATTTACAAGTTATTGCGGTAAAGAGCTCAAGTCTGACAGGAAAAGGAATCAGATTTTAGGTGGCTAACAAGGTAATAATTACTGCAAGTATATTGTTTTGCAAGAGGAGATGGAAAGTTACAACCTAAAGCACCTGCAGAAATGATAATATTCCAGTCAAAACTAAGTTTTAAAATCTACGCGACCACAGCAGCTACAACTTTATTTTAAAGTTAGATTCAAAAGCTTTCTCAAAGTTTTAGTAAAGAACCATTTGCCTTACCTCCTAATTTCCTCCACATCCCTGACTTACTAATGCAAGTAATGTCGAAAACAACTAAAACATTGCACGTAAACAGAGCAGCACGTAAACCCTTTCCGGTTCATATACTACAGAGCAGTACGTCCCACAGCACTACCATAAACTCACATGTGATAAGAAAATAGCTCCTTTATTTTAATAACAAGACTAACTGCTTTCTAGAAGCCAATAACTACAGTCTCCTCAGTTTTGTGTAAAGCGAGTGCTTCAGCGCTTTAAGCGCAAAGCGAGGCGACAAGTGAGGCGCTTCAGGTATTAGGTCTTTTGATGCGAGTGCTTCTGTCAAAGTAGCAAGGAGCGATGGAGAAGCGACAGACGTGATTGCTTTTGTATTTAAGACGTGTCAAAGGTTGACTTAAGGGAAAATTAGAAAAATCAGTTCTTTTATCGCAAAACAGAACTTCAGCAGAACGACTCCGAAGAACCTAGGGTTTTCAGCGCCTCTTCAAGGCTCAGTCAGGTATAATTTCTTTTCTTCCTTCTCCTTTTTTGTTTGTGCCATAAATTGCAACGAAATGCTGTCAATATTTTTTTTTCTTCTGTTTCTTTTACTTTTCGTTTCTGGGCTGTAAATTCCAACGTGATGCTGCCAAAATTTCTCTTTCTCAGTTCATCTTTTCTCCTTCCCTTCTCCTTTTTTGTTTTTTGTTGTGACTGCTCCGAAAGTTTCTTTGTTGTGACTGCTCCGAAGCTAGGATATGCTGCCAATTTTTTAATTATAATTTTCAGATTCTATCCATTTTTAGGCGATCGTTTTGAATTAAATTAGCTAATTTTGGAGTTCATTTGATCTTAATAGATTTTAAATGGCACCAAAAGAGGATAAGAAAAAAGTATTGAATATTTGCTTACATGTGTTGCCTCTATGCAAAATTTATTTTGGTATTTGTTTAAAAAGATTCCGCTTCACTTCAAAAAAGTGAGCGCTTCGCTTCTCGCTTCACACTTTAAGCGAAAAAGGGCTCGTCGCTTTTCCTCGCTTCACGTTCTTCACAACAGGGGGAAGAAAAGAAATTATACCCGACTGAGCCTCGAAGAACCTTGAAGAAACTTGAAGAGGTGTTGAAAACCCTAGGTTCTTTGCGTTGTTGCTCTGCGGAAGTTCTGTTTTGCGATAAAAGAACTTATGTTTCTAATTTCCCCTTAAGTCGACCTTTGACGCGTTTTAAATACAAAAGCGATCGCGTTTGTCGCTTCTCCATCGCTTCTAGCTACTTTGGCAGAAGCGCTCACATCAAAAGACCTAATACGCTTCAAATACCTGAAAAGCCTCACTTGTCGCCTCGCTTTGCTTCGCGCTAAAGCGCTCACTTTTCACCTAAGTTGCTCGGACTCGGATGCGGATCTAGAGGTCAGATCCTTATGATCTAAGATTTAAGATTCGAAGGTATGGATCCAAGTATGGATATGGGTGCAGGGATTCGGCTAAAAATACTTCAAATATCTAAAAATAGAGTGAAAAACTTACAAGCTATTCTAAGAAGGAAAAAAATATTGATCAAGAGGAGAATCGAAGGAGATAAAAGGAAAAGGACTAACATAGAAATTTCTGTATACAAAAGTATTCCATTTTCTTCAATTTTACCGTAACTTTTGTTTTGATTTCAAAATCATTGTATCTGTCCCGAACTTTTCCGTCAATTTTGGTCAAAGTACCCAAAATCGGTTGACCAGATCCGATACAGATCCCACACCCACACCCTCGCCGTGTCGACACGGGTACGACACCGAAAATGAAGAGCATGAGAAACTTAGCTTTTCACAACACTATCTCTTACTTGGTTATTCGTGATGAGGCACGAGTAACAGAAGGCTTTGAGGAAGCTCTTAATGTAAGCAATGAATTAAGAAGCAATTGATTCTCTCCCCTCCTTTTCTTATTTGTGATGGAGGCACAGAGTAGACTCGTAGATAGAACACAGAGAGGAAGCTTTGAGGAAGGTCTTGAAATAAGAGGAAAATCAAGGTATCTCATTTAATTTGCTCACAACGCATTGAGCTCCTGCGGGCCACAGCTCCAACACCTTCTCAGAACGTTGACATGGTTCCAAGTCTCAGGATTCCGTTTCAATATATGTAATTCTGGATTGGTATCAATGGAGGAGGTACAAGATATTCAAGATCAGGCAAGCATCTGTGGTTGTAGGGTGGCAACACCATCAGTAATATTCCTAGACCTACCACTCGGGGAAAATTTTGAGGATCTTTAAAAACGGGAAATCAAGAAGTCCGGTTGGAAGAGACAGTTCTCATCTAAGTTGGAAAAATCATCATACTAATTTACACGATCTAACAACCAAATAAGTTACATGTTCTTATTCTATATGCTTAAGTTAGTATCTGATAAGCTGGAATACATAATGAGAGCCTTCCTGTGAGAAAAGGAGGGGGAATAGAAGAATCATTTGGTAGAATGGAGAAACATAACAATTCCCATAAACAAAGAGGGTAGAAATCCCAGAAATATCTACATTTACTACAGCACTCTTGCAGAAGTGTTTGTTGAGATTTGCTTTAAGAAAAATGGTTTATGAAATCTTAAACATGGAGCAACATGAAAGACATGGTTTACTGAGGAAGTTATGAAGTCCTACTAGGTAGCATAAGGGAGGGCGTCACGAAGGGAAAACACGCTCTTTAAGCACATTTACTGTACTGCAAGTAATGGTAAGCAGACTCAATCATCTTTGAGAAGATGTGTGGCATGGAGGAACAACTTTACATGAGACGTTTCCACATGTGTATAGGTTGGCGAATGATAGAGACTATGTTACCTAACTATTTGAGAAGGAACGGCCAGGGAATCGTATGAGATGTAAATTTAGGAGAGCTTTTCATGGTCGGGATTAGAGTTTACGCAAATACTCTACAAGTGACGTGTAAGGGTAAACAAGAAGATAGGGAGGTACAGAAGAGAAAGGGGGTGAGATCATTCTTGGTGAAATCTTGCTACAAGGAAAGGGAAGGGAACAAAAGAAAGGCGTGGCAGAGAATATCATATGTAAGAGCACTTAAAAAGGTGGCTCCTTTTGGTGTGCCATGAGGGACGCAATACGACTGGTAGACAGTTTTTAAGGAAAGGAGAATCTTGATGTGTGAAAAAAGAGGTGGAAAAACATAAATCACAGCCCACTTATTGAAAACTCACTTCACAACTATCGAATCTTGTGTGTTCTATATTTGATGCTTTGTACATGTTCCCGAAGACAAAGACTGAGACAATCAAGAAAAGAAGCTACTGAGGATTAGTTATCAAGGGGAAAAAAAACTACAGAAGATTAGCAAAGAGAAGCTGAAAGCTACACCACCATGTGCTTTATCATCAGTGCGGAACAATAGAAATAGGATAATGTTTTATATCAGCACGAGATATGAGCAGTTCAACAGGTTCATTTTTCTTTCATGTACTTTTTTGGCGTAAACAGAAAATACCAGGTTTTATAGATGTTCTGGATAGGTCATTAGTTGATTGAAGGTCAGCCTCCACATGCACATACTTTTAACAGCAACTTGATGCATTGTATGAAAGATAATTATTGGATTTACCAAAAAAAAAAAGGGAGCTCGGGGACGAGTTTAAAAGATCATACTCATTCCGAAAGAACATAGGTGAAAAGTATGATGGAGGAAGAGCGTTCTGTCCAATACATTGTAAAAGCATGAGCTTAGGCCTATGATGTGACACGAAGAAAGAAGCATCTTAAATCCTGCAGGTCAATACTTGGACATATAAGTAAGAATGTTTTCGACTTCGCAATTCTGGTTCCCAATCTTGAACTAAGAAAAACATCACCCACAACTACCCCAAAATAAACGGACACAGAAGCACACGCGCATTCTTTACTTCCTAACTTCCTCCATTGTACTTGTCCTGTTCATTTCCCCAGCTTTCCAAATCAATCCTATTACAAAGCTTTGGTATTCCAAAAGAAACAATCATTAATCCTCAATTCCTCACCAAAAAGAAAGAGTGAGAATTACACGTAGCACATTTATTTCCTAGCTCAAAAAGAAAAAATCATCAGCGACTTATGCAGCGCTAAGGATAAAAAGGACCAGCAATCGCACAAACATGAACCTAAAACGTATTTCACCAAAACCCAACAAAAACCCTAATTTTCTAGCTCAAAGCCATTGCCTAAAATGTAAAAAAAGCAAAGAGAAACTCAAAATGGTGAAACGTTAATATACCTTAGAAGGATCAACTTTCTGGAAGTTTTTGACACAGTTGATAACACGATCAGTGACTTCAGACCTGTCGAGAAAGGAGCCCCTCACTTCCTCCGAGAAATGGCGTCTGAATACCTGTGTAAATGCGGTGCCGACGAGCCTTCTAGGGTTTCCCACTGCTGCAGGCCGAGCTTCCACTCTCAGGTACTTCAGCAATGCATTCCTCGCCGCCATTGAAACTCAAATAGTTAGAGAGAGAGAGAAAGTGGAAATGTTCTCAAGAGTCTGCAGGACAAGCAGAGGGCACGCTAGAGGTTTCACGATCGGTTTCTTGGGTAAATACATAAAGGGTTTCAAGTTTTCAATATTTGTGTATTGACTCCCTCCATTTTTAACTCTCCACTCAAGCCTATTAAATTTCTTTTTTGGACAGAAAGGAAAATATATATATTTATATTAGCATTGTCTAAGAACTAGTCTTTGGTAGAAAAACCAGCATTGCATATACGTTGTCTGGTTGTTAAATAAGGAAATTTAATCTATGGATAAAACTCAGCCTAGGATATTAAAATGCTTGGTTAACATTTTACTTTTTTTTAAAAACTAGTTTTTCGACGTGTATATCAAGTCATGTAATACATGATTTTAATAATATCAATACTATTAGTATAACAAAGCTTTGAGTAGGTATAACTGAAATAATAAAGTATAAGCTTCTGTGAATAACATAGATTTGAGACTGCATTTAGTAAGTATTTCAGCATTTGTTACCTCAGCATCATTGATCCTGGTGATTCTAATATCATTAAAAGCATGTCTGCGACCAATGAGATAGCAGTTGATGTTAGATCGTTCTTCTCATGGATTCTGCTCAATCTTAATTTGGGGAATCTTAATGACATGAATTTTTTTTCCGAAAGAAAAAATTAGCGGATGCATGTGTATCAACGGTTATAAGTTCGGACTATATATATATATATATATACACGTGTAAAGAAAGTTAAAAGTAATATTTTCGAAAATGTATGTAGCAGCCCCAGTTATACACTTCCTTTATTCTGTGAATCCTTGTTTATTCTGAAATTGGTACGTTGATGTGCAGTAAATGCCTTCAAATAACGGACTAAATTTGATGGTTGGTCTGAGCTAAATTTCTCTTTTGGAAACCTAAGACTTGAAAAGATAATTTGAACATGCATGATGAATGCTACCAGCTTCAACTAATGTCAAATATTGGAAAAGATCTATTAACCTTTGTTTAGTTNCCGTTAGGACCGCGGGCCCGGTCCGGTCCGGTTCAGGCCCGGCCCACCGAGCAGCATTAGTTTTAACTGTCATTTACATCATCTGTGTTCTATATACCTACAATAAGGAGAGTTATCTATTTTGCATTAGTATTTCGAACATGCACCTATTTTCTTACCATGTATAAGTTATTGTTGATTTTGTTCTATATCAAGAGTGCAACTACTTGTACAATAATTTACCTTATTAGATTTAACCGTCAAGGAACCTGAATTTAAACTACTTGTAAACTACATGTCCTTTGCTTCTCCTGCTCTCAATTAGCACAAATAATGAGTAATATACTGTGTGTAATATGAAGTCCATCTCAGATAACATTTAAACAAATGCCCACTAATGTAATCATTTCCACATGCTATATTTTCATGTTCAAAGCTTTTCATGAGAATGTCATAGGAATATAGGAAGCGCCTAAAGACAATTTACTCCTAATACTTGTGAAGGGAATAAATGCAGTGATTAAAAAGAATTTGCTGGAAATCTACAGATATTAATTACAGACAAAAAAAAACTGTGCAAGACTCCATCAGCGTTAGGTATAAATTTGGTGACCAAAAAGAATCTTCTTTATTTTTGAAAAGCATCTTACCACTAAAACTTTCACCAGTAGATAACAAAGTCTTTGAACTATGGTAAACATACTTGAACACAAGCAACAATAAATAGTAAAAAGGTAAATTAAAACAATACTGTGTAAGCCTTACCAAACACAACATTGCACTAATTGTTTGATTCTTCATATCAAGATGAGCATATTTGCTCGACCAACCATGAAATTTGTCGCAGAAACCTGTATTGTTAGGTTATGCAGTATATATATTTACATTCTATATTAGATATAAAACATATTAAATAAAATTGAGCAGCAAATAGTAAAGAAAAAGAAATGCTAGAGTAATTAAAGCACTTGCCCTCTTTTGGACTGTGACAAGTGCGACGATGAATATTTCTAGAGCGCCGTCAACTTTTTCGGTAATTGTCCAGAAGAAAGAATTTGTGTAAAACCATCCACACAAAAAGAGAATCATTTGACTCACTAACAAAAAGTGTGCAAATAAAATTAATTGAAGTGGAAATTTGTGTGAAGCTTTTGACGTGCAAATAAAATTGATTGAAGTGGAAATTTGTGTGAAGCTTTTGACGTTTCAAGAAGAAGGTTTATCATCGTACGATGATGATGACCTTTTTTTTACAGTTGATGATAGAGATCAACTTCAGTCTTGTTGCTTCCACATCGTTTGAAGTGGATACTTGCGACTGTTAATGAAAATTGAAACGGTGGCTTTGTTTGTAGCAGCAACAATAACAACGAAAAAGTGAAATTTCACTAGTGGGGTCTGAGAAATATAGAGTGTACGTAGATCTTACCCTACCTCGAGGGTAGAAAGACTGTTTCCGAAAGACCCTCGACTCAAGAAGACGAAAAAAGGAAATATATTAGTACCATAGAAAAAAAACAGCATCTTAAGAGGAACGAAATAGATGGAAAGCACAATAATAACCAGTAGATAAAGCCCGGCACTAAGAGGAATAAAAGAGTATTGAGAACTCAACACTAACCACTAGCAGTCTAAGACTAAATCCTAACACACTAGCCTCACTCTGGTGCGCCGTAGAAATATGTACAACTAGCTCTTAACCTATATTCTTAATACTCGACCTCCTCAACTTCGTGTCTACGGTCATGTCCTCGGTAATCTAAAGCCACGCCATGTCCTGCCTGATCACCTTTCCCCAATACATCTTAGGCCGCCCTCTACCTCTCCTCGTACCCACCAAAGCCAGTCGCTCGCATCGCCTCACCGGGGAATTAGGGTTTCTCCTCTTAACGTGCTCGAACCATCTGAGCATTGCTTCCCGCAGCTTGTCATCCATGGGGGCCACACCCACCTTCTCCCGAATATCTTCATTCCTAATCTTATCCATCTTAGTGTACCCGCACATCCACCTCAACATCCTCATCTCTGCTACCTTCATCTTCTGGATTTTTGAGTTCTTAACTGGCCAACACCCAGCCCCATACAATATGGTTGGTCTAACCACCGCTCTATAAAACTTACCTTTGAGTATCGATGGCATTTTCTTGTCACACGGGACTCGAGACGCTAACCTCTATTCCATCCACCCCACCTCTATAAGGTGTGTGGCATCCTCGTCTATTTTCACATTTCCCTGTATAACCGACCCAAGGTACTTAAAACTGCCCCCCTTGGGTATGACCTGAGAGCCAAGCCTCACGTCCAATCCCGCTTCCATCGGCTCGACGTTGAACTTACACTCTAGATATTCCGTCTTAGTCCTGCTCAACTTGAAACCCTTAGACTCGAGGGCCTATCTCCAAACCTCCAGCCTCTCGTTGACGCCACCTAGCGCCTCATTAATCAGAACTATGTCATCAGCAAATAACATACACCATGGCACCTCCCCTTGAATATGGTGTGTCAGTGTATCCATCACTAGGGAAAATAGGAATGGGCTGAGCACAGATCCTTGGTGCAACCCCATAACAACCGAAAAATGCTCCGAGTCGCCTCCTACTGTCCTAACACAAGTCTTAGATCCATCATACATGTCTTTAATTACCCTAATGTAAGCAACCGGCACATTTTTTGCCTCTAAGAATCTCCATAAAACCTCCCTAGGAACCTTGTCATACACTTTCTCCACATCAATAAACACCATGTGCAGATCCTTCTTCCTATCCATGTACTGTTCCACCAACCTCCTAATAAGGTGGATAGCTTCCGTGGTAGAACGTCCCGGCATGAACCCGAACTGTAGGCATGATATTTTTTTTTTAATAAGTAGATAAAGTATTTAGGTCACTTTGTAAGTATTTTTTTCAATTAAATAAGGTATTTAGGTATTTGGAAGATACTTTGTAATTTAATTTTTGACTTTTGAGGTTTTCACTTTTATAATAATTTATTACTAATGTGAAACATTTTAATATACACAACCCTTCAATATAAATTTTTTTCTTCTTTCTATTTAAATATTATAATTATAATTTTTTTTAAATAAGTAGGGTAATTAGATTTTTAAAAGGGTAAAAAGGTAATTTGACTTTTGACTTAGGGGCTTCTCACTTTTAATATAGTATAGATAATATTTGCATAGATTATGAGAAAATTTATGTATTATTTTATATAAGGTTGTCTAACGGAATGGAACAAGATGCTTTTAGGGGGACGGGACGATTCCTTAACGGGATAAGGGGGATCGGGACCTTGGCGGGTCGGGATCAGCAGAACGAACCCCTCGGCCCGTCCCATCCCACTAACTAAGGCGGCGGGACTTGGCACATCGGATGCCCTTAGTGAGATTATTTATTTTTAATTTTTTTTAATTAATTTACATAGTTAAGCGCTAAAAATTATAAAAAGTTGATCATGTGATTATAGGCTATATAAATTTAGTAAATCAGCACAAGTTTAATAAACTTCAAACTTAAATGGCTAACATTGCAAAATCAAAACATACAAACTTGACGGCTAACATCTTCTATATATAATAAAAGAAGAGGCAAATGCACATTATTAAGACAAGTGGCATGATCACAAAAAGCCAAGCGGCATTATTAAGACAAAATAAACTACCTTTTTAACTAAAAAAAACTTTTAAAATTTTGAATTAATTGGTTACTCTATTTGAATTAATAAATATAAATATCTTATAATTAGCTATATTAAAAAAATAAAAATATATAAAAAAAAGAAAAAGAAAAATTGGCATCCTATAACAACACATAACATGAATTGGTAATTTTTTAACCTTATATTAGGTTTGGCAAAGATAGCCCCAAACAATTGGCATTATATAGCCAAATCTTAAAAAAAGCTACTCTCTTTTATATTCTCTCTAAAAAAAAAAACTACACGCTTAATTTGGCTTCCCACCCCTTTTATCTCCTTGTATTTCTTCTTCTATCTCTTCTCTTTTCTCTCATAGCTTAGCAAAAATTCTTGCAAATTATGCAAAAAAAATCAGTGGGATGAAAAGGTAAGGTTGATCTCACATCAGAGAAAATCAGAAGCAAAAACTAAGAGAGAA